CACCATCCCTTATTTAGAAATTTTTCCAAATCTCGTACCAATACTATGAATTTCGAATTCTTCTATTCTGATCCTCCAAATTTGGGAAAGGCAAAATTCAAGGGCCTAACCTCAAATCCCGATCTGTTAGAGCAATTAATGCGTTATCTCCCATTCCCAAATGTTCACGCGTTAATCGGAGTCGGACTTCACGCATAGTTATCAAACCCGGTTAAGAAAGGGCTATGGAATCCGGGGAAGGGAGCATCCAAACCTCTATAAATACGGATGCGCAAAAGATTTTTTAGATGCGTTAACCGAAGAACCTGAGCAGGGACAGTTGAGCAAAGTATTTCTAAAAACGTTGAAGTAATTCTTGATCCCATTCATACTTCGTTTATAGACCTTTATAATATGAGATTGCACCACCGCTGAGTAGTAGTAGTACAAGGAAATTTAGGAGAATTGAATTGAACTTAGCCCAGTTGTTCTGAAATTGAGAACGAGTCACACTTGTAAATAAAGTGTATACGCTCAGAGTTGATCACAAGTTGATTGTCGTGCAACTAAGAGTAAAATTATATTATTACGTTCCATCGGCCCGGCATGTGCACGAGGATCGTTTAATTCACCTAAAAATACTCAGGTAATGATTTATTGATGATCGCATTATTGAGGCTTGTCCGAGAGATTCAACAGGTTGTTTTGTGAGCTGATGAAATTCGATAATCTTCGGTAAGAATTTTGTAAAGTCTTGGGGGAGGAAAGAAAAAGGGTTGGAGAATCAATAATTACTTGTCTAACGTCCCCACAAATGTAGTAAAACGTCTGAGGCCAATTACATATTAGGGATAATTTCATAAACCTCCCCTGAGGTTTTATAAAATATCACCTAGCTCCCTTGAGGTTTTCAAAATCTCACTTAGCACCCCTTGAATTGACATTTTGGTAACATTTGAAGCCCTTCTAACCAAAAGTAATATTAAAAAATTCATGTCTGAGGAGAGAGATTATTTTAGTGCCTTTAATACCCTTAGGCTATAAAAAAAAATGAACATTTTATAAACCAAGAAAAAAAAAAGTACTAAATTGGAACCATCTTAAAAGTAAGGAGATGAAAATTGGTAAGATTTTATGTTACAACCAATAGTCACTTCTACAGTAGGAAGAGATAGTAAAAGCAAATACTATTTTTTAAACTATTTTTATAAATAGAATCCTTCATAGTGTTGAAGGTAATTAGCATATAAAATTATGCATTTGAGGAAAAAAAAACTTAATAATAGATGAAATTCAACTTCAATATCATACAAAAAATTTACTCAAAATAGACAAACTTTTTTTTATGGGTGTGAAATACGAAAATTTTATTATAGAAAAAGTCAGAATTTGAAAAAATCATGCATTTGAGGAAAAAAAACTTAGTAATAGATGAAATTCAACTTCAATATCATACAAAAAATTTACTCAAATTATACAGACTTTTTTTTATGGGTGTGAAATATGAAAATTTTATTATAGAAAAAGTCAGAATTTGAAAAAATCATGCATTTGAGGAAAAAAAACTTAGTAATAAATGAAATTCAACTTCAATATCATACAAAAAATTTACTCAAAATAGACAGGCTTTTTTTTATGGGTGTGAAATATGAAAATTTTATTATAAAAAAGTCAGAATTTGAAAAACTATTCGGAGTTTCAAATACTTTATTTCTCTTGCGCTCTACATGAATAGGAATAAATAAATAAATAAATAAAGTTGTGAAACACCAAAAAAGGAAAAAAAATAAAAAGAACCTGCAGCTATTATTTTCCAAATGCATTGAATATTTCATTAACATTTGCAATTCAATTATACATACATATATATGTGTATATGTATGTATGTATGTTTGTATAGACATTGTTAAAGAAAAATAGGAAATTTAGAGAAAGAAAAACAAGTTTAGAAAATTTAAATATGAGGGTATTATTGACAATTCATCACCTTTGATGTTAGTATATGGCCCTGCAATCACTTTAAGGGTGCTAAATAGATTTTGAAAAGTTTAGGGGAGTTATGTGATATTTCATGAAACCTCAAGGGAGGTTTCTGAAATTATCCCTACATATTATTTGCTAAACTCCTACGATGAATTCCCCATCAAACTACAAAAGCTTAATACATGATTTATTCTCTTAATTTTTTATGTATTTGCAAATTGTCATAAAATAAAAGGTACAACCTCAACTGAAAGTTTTTTTAAAATTATTTTTTCTTCCTTCAAGGGGTTATAAAGAGTGTTTGGAGAGTAGATTATTTGAAATAATTTTAAAAAAATATTGTAACATTTTTTTATTATAATGTATGTGAGGAAAAAAGTTAATTAAAAAATATATTAATGATGCAAATAAATAAATTTTGATAAATAAATTCCTATTCTTTTTTTTCGATAACGATGATAATATTTGAATAATCTAATCTATTTTATTATTCTACAAGAAAGGGAGTTTAAAAAAATTATGTAACTAGCAGGTATACAGAAGTCGTCAGACTAGAAAGGTACTCTGATAGTAATTCTTTTAGATTTTTTTTACCGCAAGTATCGATGGTCCAAAATTTGGTGGCCACTGGGTTAAACAAATTCTCATTCAAACAAATCCAAAGTTTGAGGCAATAAAGTCTCAAGGACAACAACCGCAATAAAAACCCAACTGAAACCCTGTATATGCGCTGCATTTTACTCATACAGGGCTCAGACCCTAGAGCATACTTGGCATAGGTAGTATCGCTCTCGCTCTCTCTCTCTCTCTCTCTATCTCTCTGTTTATTTTTTTATGCGAATAAATGACGCATTGTCGTTTCTGTCTTTGTTGTTCTCAATGTCCAATGTAATAAATTAGTGGAGATAATGACCAACATTGCCAAATTAGCGTTTGTCCCATCCCCATCCATCCGTCGCCCCTAATAAAGAAAAAGAAAGGGGGCAAGCATAAATCATGAGGGGAAAATTCCTAATCGTACCTAATAAAAACAATTAATATTGGGTTTGTTTGCATTTTGTTATTTATTTACAAAAATTCATTTGCTTACATCATTAATATATTTTTAATTTTTTTATCTCGCATATATCACATTAAATAAAAAAACTACAGTATTTTTTCAAAAAATTATCCTAAATAATCTAGTGTTGGACTTCTAGATACGCCAACAAAATTAATTTCTTTTGTTCTTTAAATAAAGATGAAAGGTCAACAAATTAATTTCTTCATTGTGTAAATAATGACTCTTAACCTTAAGAATCGAATTATGAATCTCATTACTGTTCAAATAAAAGGTTACAACAATTAGTTGCCTAATGAAGATAAGGTGATTGAGAAACACTACAAAATTTTACCAAGGAACAAAGCATTGAATGAAAAACAACAATTTGACAGCGGAGTTGCAGAAGTTTCTATTAAACGCTTTTAATTTCTAACTCTTCTCTTAAATTAAATACTAAAGTCACATTTTATTTTATTTTTCCAAAATACTTAAGATAATTTCATTAATAGTAAGAATTTTTACAGTGACAAACAAAGACTCGATGAGCTGTACAATTTATGTTCAAAGACACTGAGGGATAATTCATTCCTCGCTTAAAAAAAATGTCTAAAACACATGAACTAATTATCACACTGCTGTCTTCTTTAACGAAGCAAAAGCAAAAGAGTACATTCGAAACAATTCACTTTAAGCTTAGAGCATCTCCAACGGTGGTGTAATGTTTGACATTGTAATGGGTTATTACACGTTCACCCCATTGTGGCCGTGTAATACCCATTACACGTATAATCCTGGGTGGCCCCCATTACAATTCATTTTTTGCAACGATTTAAATTTGTAACGTTAATTTTTTCAACTGTCAGATTTTAACTATCTATATAAACACACAACACACTTATTTTTTAGAGATAGAAAAAGATATATTGTTCAAACTTAAAAAATTAATAATATCATTTTTAGAAAATAAAAAATTCAAAAGGTAAAAAATTTAATGAAAGTTAATACTTTATTTTCTAAAAATGACAAAATTATTTTAAAAAATTACTTTATTTATTTATGGGATATGAGTTATGCATTATTAAAATAAATATTTGATTTAAGTGTGAACTCATGCTATTACACCTTATGAAGTGTAATTTATTGTGAGTCGAAGTGTAATAAAAGAGAAGAAAATGGAATGATGACGTGGCATATGGATTACGTTCCAAAGAGTGTAAATCAATTTGTAAATGCTTTAGAATATCCCATTTTATGGCCTCAGCAATTACGCAGATCGAAGCCATCCGCTAGTTGTCTTTTTTTTTTTTTTTTGTCAGACTTTTTCAAGTAAAGCAATTAAACCTAATCCCAAAGTCCACCTCAAAAGCCGGCAACTCTTGAGGCAACCTTGGGGACTTAACTACCCGACCCTCAAACCCCTTAGAATCGATGTGGGACAACGGGAAGGTTGGAAGGGAAGCTTCTACTAGACCTTAACTAAGACCCACTTACCCCAGAATTCCCCCCGACTTACGTCTTTGACTTTTTTTTGCCATCCGCTAGTTGTCAGTTCTGGTCATTGATGTCCAGACATACGTCTAAATTCTGGTAATCATGACCGAAATTCATCCTTTTTCTCCTTAATTAAGGTAATTTTCTTTTTCTTTTTTTGGCTAGAAATTAAATAAGGTAGTTTTCTGGCTGTTAATTTCTACAAACTTGGTGGAGTAGCACAAATTTATTATTTCACCCAGGACACAAGTGAATAATGCGCAGCACCCGACACATTAGTGAGCCAGATGGATCCCAGCAATGAGAGTCTTTTGGAGCCGTTTGAGAAAGGGGGACCCAATTAACTTTCTGCATTTAAAAAAAAAAATTTTCTGCTAGATTTGAAATTTATTGAGAGGGATGAAGACTGAAGATTGCAGTGGTGTCAGATGGTTTGACTGCTGGTACCCCCATGTCTTCCTCTGTCGTTTATTTTAATGTATTTCTTGAAACTACTAACAAGCCATCCTAACAAGAGGAGGGGGCCTCTCTCTCTCTAACCTTTCTTATTTGTCTCTTCAACCATTTTGGGATCCTCTTCTTTTCTTGTTCTCTTCTTCGTAGTTCCTATTTCCTACCCTCTCCCCCTGCTTTCTCCTCTTGTTTTTTCAACTTTCCTTTCATTTCAAGCCTCTTTTTTCTACTTTAGCACAAAAAACTGTGGACCTTTTTTTTTTTTTTTTGGAGAATTGATAGACAAGTGCTGTTGCTGAGGGCTCACCGTAGAATCTCTTGTTTCAGAAAATGAGTACTTCAAAGTTCATAAAATGTGTGACTGTGGGAGATGGAGCTGTTGGAAAGACTTGCATGCTCATTTGTTACACTAGTAACAAGTTCCCAACTGTGGGTTTTCTCTTCCTCTTTCAACCATCTTTAAGAAAGCCTTTCAATTTTCCATTTTTGTTTCTTTTTGTGTGCATTTTTCTTCTGAGTTTGCTGTTAATGGGATTCCTTTTTCTTTTTTTTTTCAACATCAAAGATTTCTGATAGGACATCTGCCAAGAAAGGGGGGGGGGAATGTCTTTGTAGCATTTGATTCCACATTTTATTCTGACATGGAAAGCTGTAAAAATGTTGTCTTTTCCTTTACATTTGAGCTACTTTCCTCTGATTATTTAGTTTATCTGTTCAAGAGTTTAAGGGCTGACTTCATTTTTCTTGTGCTGATCTTTGATTTTTGATCTTTGATTTTTGTTGAGTGCTTGCACATCTCTACCTCTTTCTTATACTTTGGATTTCTCTTGCAGGATTACATCCCTACGGTGTTTGACAACTTCAGTGCTAATGTGGCTGTGGATGGAAATATTGTAAATTTGGGATTATGGGATACTGCAGGCATTTTCTTTTTCCACCATTAAGCTTGTGTATTTTATCTAGTGAAAACTGCGAAATTCTGGTTATTCCGTAATGCTTAGTCATTTATCATCTACAGGTCAGGAAGATTACAGCAGGCTGAGACCTCTGAGTTACAGAGGTGCAGACATATTTGTGTTGGCCTTTTCTTTAATCAGTCGGGCTAGTTATGAAAACGTCCTCAAGAAGGTATTAATATCGCTGACAATCACTTCTTCTAGAGTGATTTTTTGGTGCCCTTTCGCTTTCCTTTGGCTTTTCTTAATTCTGATTTTCTCAAGAAATTGAAATCTTCAATTTGCTAAATGCTCTACCAAATGAGTAAATAAATGAATAAGATACAGAACAGTGATCAGTGATTTTCCAACAGTTTCTAGCAAGTAGCAAAGAGTGACAATTTATGTTCTTTATTTCAATTTTCATCCAGTGGATGCCGGAACTTCGTCGCTTTGCACCCAATGTTCCAATTGTACTCGTTGGTACAAAGTTAGGTATGCATAGATTTGATCAAATAAATACTCTTCTGGTGGTGTTTATGGCATGGAGCTCTTATTAAGAGTTCAAAAAGAAAATTAATAATGTATCAGCATGGCCTTAACTACAGATCTTCGCGAGGACAGGGGGTATATGGCTGATCATTTTGGTTCAAACATCATCACCTCCGCCCAAGTACGTGGACATTAACTGCAAAAATTTAGTCTATTCAGAGCAAAGTAAGAGCTTCTCTGACTTAAATTACGACTTGCAATACAGGGCGAGGAGCTGAGGAAGCAAATAGGCGCAGCTGCTTACATAGAGTGCAGCTCGAAGACGCAGCAGGTAAATTTTCCTGATCTAAGCCTTTGGATTGAGATACCAGAAAGTCTGATGCCAACTTAGCTAATATATGACTCTTCATTAGAATGTGAAAGCTGTATTTGATACTGCCATAAAAGTTGTGCTTCAACCTCCAAGGCGGAAGGAAATGGCACGAAAGAGAAGACAGAGAAGCTCTGGCTGTTCCATCGTGTGAGTACCATTGCATCCTTTTCTGTTGTTTGTTTCCCTGGAATTAACGTGTGTCAGTCTGGTTTTTCATCAATCTCGATAAAGAATGAGAAAATCAGGTTACATGAATTGGTATTGGAGCATCCTAGCTCAAATGACAGCTATAAGAAACATATAGAAAACAAATAAATTCTAAAGAAAGAGCCTTGAGCTATGCTTCTTGTTTTGGTTCAGTTTTTGAAAATGCCAAATTGTATGATGTAGAAATAGTTAATCAACACATAGAAAACTCTAGTAGACTGCTTGAAAGAATTCTATACTCTACTATTATGATCAGAAAAGATCGAAATTGTTAAAAAGATCAGATGGAATGTGGAATGTGTTTTCCGTCATGGTATGAACTTTTAAGGAGTCAGATTAGATTCGAAAGCATTTAGTATTTGTTTTTCTTCTAAAATCTTTTTTTTTTTTTTTTATGGGATTGGAAATTTATTCGATCGAGTGCCAATGTTCAGGTTATATTATACGACTACATAATCCTAATCTTGAAGTTTCACTTTGAACAGCAGGGGGATTGTATGTGGAGGATGTGCTGCTGCCTAAGAAAAAGATATGGGGCAGAATCTCTTGAACCCATCAACGACAAACGTTACTAATAGATGGTGCTTTTTGCAAGTGGTTTGGGAGCTCAATGAGAGGGCACATTCCCCAGATGGCTCACGGTTCTATAATCGTGTAGGTGTTGTGTGGTCGTGGTAGTATTGAAGTGTAGTAGTGCTAAACTAAAAGATGAGGGTTATTTATTTATTTATTTTTTTCCTACAATGTTGTTGTTGTTGTTGACCATAGAGAAACGTCGAAGGGATGGAGGGAATTATTCATTCTCTCTCGACCAAGTACTGTGAATTACTACTACTATGTTGTTTCGCGTTCCTTGGTATTGTGAAAACTCAGAAACCTCGTTAATGATTCTGTTCTTTCGTTTTGTCTTTGTTGTCTCCCTTTCTTGAGCTCAGATGCAGCTCCGGTGCATATGACGACTTCTGCTCAGATAAAGAATAATCTGCAGAACAGTTTCTATGCATTTATGATTTATCTATGCGGGAATTAAAGGGGAGCACTCGGCCAGAGGAGAGGGGAGGGGGGCACTGCGCTGTTGAATATGGTAAAATTTCTGTGGACCTCAACTGAAGCCCAATTAAAGCAAATGCTCTTTTTATGGGGAGCCAAATTGAGAGTTATAAATCCATGTAGAAGCACATTTGCGATTCTGAACTACTGTGAGGGGAAAATTGAAATTAACCCGAGTAGAGTTACTAGAGTACTCGGTAGGGGTGCAAGTTTGGGATGGACTGGGATTCCAGGCGGTTTTGGTCATTATCAACTGCGCGTAACTTTCTTTGTACATCGCGTAACTTTTTTTTCACAGGATGTATTTTCACAACAGATAGTGGTGGGTCCCACACTTGGCGCGAAAATCGAGTTACATGGTGTAATCTCAGCCGCACAAAATTTTGAGGGCAAATCTTGGCCCTTAACCGTGCAGGACGGTCATACTGATGACCGTCCCTGCCCCAAATCCGTTTGGGATCTAGTTCCTACCTTGCCTTCTACTCGGTTCGAGCTTGTGGATAATTCGGTCAAAATTTGATTCGAACTTGGCATTGATCGAATTCAAGTTGAGTTCAAACTATTTGACAAAGAGTGTGTTTGGATTGTAAATTATTTGAGATATTTTTACTGTAACATTTTTTGTGATGTTATATATGTGAAATAAAAAGATAATTGAAAAGATAAAAAGATATATTGAAAATTGTAATGGTGATGTAAACAAATATATTTGGACAAATAATCTCATATAATCGAGTTGAGATCGAATAAAGAAAACATCGAAACTCGAGTATTCATCAAACTTTTATTGAGTAGTGCATTTATAATATAATATAATTTTATTATTATAATATTATGAAATTTACTTGAAAATCAAGCGTGAAAACTTGATAGAACTCAATACTTGATTTGGTCAAAGTTCGAGTCAAGAAAACAACGATACTCATCGAGTCTTTATTGAGTAGTATATTTATAATATAATTTTAATTATTTATTATTGGGCTATCCAAGTTGGTTTGAGAAAAAAAATTATAATATGAAATTTACTTGAAAATCAAGCTCAAAAACTCAATTGATTTCAATTAAGCTCAATTTCGTCAAAGTTCGAGTTCAAATTCGAGTAAGATAAATAAAGTTGAGTCGAGTTCAAATTTGAACTCAACTTTAAAGAATTCAAGCATTTTTCAGTCGAGCAGGGTGAGTAGTTGCATTAATCGACCTCTGCTCGACTCAGATAGCTGCTTTACATCGAGTATTATTCTTTCCCATTTCCACCACTACCATTTGTGAAAATCACGTGCATTCCGTCAAGATCACGTGACATCTCTCGCCATCATCTTCTTCCCCAGGAAAAAATTAAAAGCCGGGGAGAGAGAGAGACTCCATATATTTCCACCCCTCGAAAAAGAAAAGAAGCGCCTACAGCATTCCATTTGGCTCCAATTTCAACCTCCAAAATCCAAAGCCCCGACCCATCATCGCCATTCGCCCAGATGGACCTTCCTCCATCCAAGAGCTGGAGCATCCACACTCGCAGAGAAATCATTTCAAAGTATCAGATCCTAGACCACGTGGGCTCAGGCGCCTACTCCGACGTCTACCGAGCCCGCCGCCTCTCCGACAACCTCACTGTCGCCCTTAAGGAAGTCCACGACTACCAGTCCGCTTTCCGGGAGATCGAGGCCCTGCAGACGCTTCAGAATTGCCCCAACGTCGTCGTTCTGCATGAGCACTTCTGGGGCGAGGACGAAGACGCCGTGCTGGTGCTCGAGTATTTGCCCACTGATTTGTCCGACGTCATAAGAGAGGCCAAAAAGGGTGAGTGGAAGGATCAAGGGTTGAGAACCGGGGAAATCAAGAGGTGGATGGTTCAGATACTTTGTGGGGTGGACGCTTGTCATCGGAATTCAATCGTGCATAGAGACTTAAAACCCACTAATTTGTTGATTTCGGCTGATGGGGTCCTTAAGTTAGCTGATTTTGGACAGGTAAACGGTCGTTTTTCCTTGCATATTTGACATTGTGTTATGATCATGTGTGTTTAGTCTACAAGTATTTAGTATACAGTACAGGAGCATATGATCATAAGTAGCGTTGTAATTCTACCCACATTCAGTAGTAGTAAAAATGGAAATTGGGAGGCATTTGGCATTTCTTTACTTTAACCTGTAATTCTAGCACAAGATTGAGCCTTGGAAGCTAAATAATAGTTGGTGATTTTAATTCTATACTAACTCAGAATATTCTGAAAACAACCATAAAATAAGGAATCAAATATTCCGTCAATATGAACGTTCAAGCCAGTAGTCTATGCATGTATACGAGCCTTTGTAATATTCCATCAATATGAACGTTTAAGTGCTTCTAGTCACTCATATTCCTTGTTCTTTTTTGCAGGCTAGGATACTTCTTGCCCCTGGATATTTTGCTATTGGCGAGAATTCTCAATCTCATGAGCAAAGATCTCCAAACGATGCAATTGTAGCTAATCCACCTGAAACCAATCCCTCTACAGATAATGCTGATGATGAAGGTCAAGTGATTCAAGCAGAACCTCCAAGGAAAGAAGAAGTTAGAGGTCTATCAGACGAGCTCAGGGAGGGAGATTTCTTGGATGAAGGTGATAAAGAAAGCAATATTCCTGACGGAGATGTTTCCTGTCTTGCTACTTGTACAGCAAGTGACATGGAAGAAGATCCTTTCAAGAATTATGCATATGAGGCTGAAGAGGATGAAAATGAGGGGTTAGGCCCTCTTACATCATGTGTGGGAACTCGTTGGTTTAGGGCCCCTGAGCTTCTATATGGCTCTACAACCTATGGAACAGAGATTGACTTGTGGTCATTGGGCTGCATATTTGCAGAGCTTTTGAGTCTGGAGCCACTTTTTCCTGGAACTTCGGATATTGATCAGCTGGGTAGAATTATCAGTGTTTTGGGAAACTTATCAGAAGAAGTTTGGCCTGGTTGTCAAGAACTTCCTGATTACAAAACAATTTCATTTGGTAAAGTAGAAAATCCAATTGGCTTAGAATCATGTCTACCTAATCGATCTGCTGATGAAATTCTACTGGTCAAGAAGCTGCTCTGTTTTCATCCTGCAAATAGAGCAACAGCAATGGAATTGCTCCAAGATAAGTACTTGACTGAAGAACCATTACCAGTCCCTATATCCGAGCTGAGGATTCCTTCTAAACACAGTGATCAAGATGAGGGTTCCCCTGGTGAGTGGGGTGATTATGGGGCCTTTGACTCAGATTCTGACTTTGATGATTTTGGTCCAGTGGATGTGACAAAAACTAATGAGGGTTTTTCAATTCGGTTTTCTTGAAGTTTATGGAAGTTCGCCAATCTGCCTGGTAACATGGTTAGAGCTGTTTGTCTGCGTTTGTGAAATATGGGGTAAAGCAGTAACATCTTGCGACTCATTCCCTGATGTCTTTAATTCAGTATAGCGTTTACTAAAATACACTGTAAATGCACCAGATTATGGTCGGAACGTAACCATGTTGAGATTGCCATAACGAAAGGAGAAAATTTGGCAGGGTTGTGGATTGTGCTGCCAGGCAACTAGGTAAAACAGGGAGAAGCTCAGTTGCTTCATGGCTTAGATTTTGAACATGGTCTCCTCGAAGGGTCTATATAAACGAGTAATATTTATTTTCTGGTCTCCATCTTATCCTTCTCCCCTCCCTCTTGTTTCTACATATTTTTGGCATTGCATTTCTTCTGCTTAAGCAGCGTCAGAAGGAAATCATACCTGTTTCTGTTGAAGCCTCTTGTAAGACAAATTTTTGCAAGTGTTGCAAAGTATTGATGAAACAGAATTAAGCAGCGGCTCTCATTATGCTATTGAGCAGCAACAGCTCTTACCATGCCATTGAGCGGCAGCAGAAAGATGAAGCACATGTTTGCGCTATAGTAGTTTGAAAAGTGACGAAGCACATTTTTGCTTTAACGCATCCTATGATTATCACTGGACACGTTTCAGAATCTGTGAGTTCAGCCAATGCAGCTGCTGGTTCATGCTTGAGTTGGTTTGGATCAGAATTTTAATTTGAGAATTACAAGTTGACATTATCACAGAAGAACAGATTTTGTTATCCATTGGAGACTCTTGAGCCTCAGGTTCTGTTTTGATGCTTCACAATAAATGGCTACAATGGGAGTTGGACCTCAGGAGATGCCGACCCCATCCCCATCCCAACATATGGGGCAGGAACAACGGGTCATGGGCGTAACAAGTTCCCATCGCCACAAATGGGGTGGGACATGGGAGGAGGCCGCCTCTACCTCTACCCCATTCCCGCTTGCGTTCAAGGACCGCTTACAGCCTGTACATTGTAAAATGACCACTCTCTAAATTCGTGCAACTGCCAAGGCAACAATGCTTTACTCAATGAAATTTCATACAACTGCGGTTTGTGTACGTGCGGAAATCTGGAGCTAATATTAGGATTTCCAGGCATCTGTTCCCTCTTTTTTTTTTTTTTTTTCTTTTGCAGTTCAAGCAACTTTCAAGTTCAAAGTATGCCTCCATTATTACATTTGTCCATAACATCAAACATACACTATAGTTATAATTCTATAGACCAACAAAATTCCGGCCTAAATAGTGCTAAAATTCCGCAAGCTTTCAGAGTACCAGCAGCTGGCCAATTGGGACCCTATTACACATGAATAACCATGAACCAAGAAATTATCAACCCCCACCCAGAAAGAATAGGAGCCAAACTTCCAGCAGCAGATCCCTGGCAGATTTTACTAGGACCAACAAACCACAGGTCTACGAAATTCCAGCCACCTTGAACAAGGTTGTCACTGATCTGTTTATTAACATCAAAGGAGGAAGTCAACATTATTCTGCCAGTTTAAA